ATCAACAGGAAATTCATTTTCTGTTTCTGATCAATTACATTCCGTTTCTTTTGTTAATGTTGAAGCAACAAGGGAATTATGGGAAAGGAACTCGGAGGTTGAACTTAATGCAAAGGCATGTTCAGATACTTTTGATTGAGCTATAGAAAAATATTCACATGTAAAAAACTAAAAAAGAACCAATATAGAATTCAGCAAACAACTCAGTTTTTAAAGAAAATGAATTCCCACAAATCTCCCCTTTTTATGAAGTGTAAAAAAGAAGTATGGACTTACTATCTCTACATGGCAATGTATGTTAATTAGTATTGGAAAAATGCTATTCCTATGGAACACCTCAGTGCTAAAGGGTAATGACAAACTCTTTTCAAATATTTGGCCGTCCTTCTTGGATTATCTTCACAGTGATCTGGTCCGCTTATTGCAGAGAGGGTGCCCACACTTTGTCTTCACAAATATGTCAAAGTCAGATTTTTCCCTTTGACATGTAATTCATGTAAATAAAATTGTATCTGATATGATCCATAAATATATGTTATTGCAACCCATGTATTTTTTCCCCTTCTATAATTTTGCATGTTTGTTCCATAAAAAACTAATAAAACATCTTTTAAATATGCAGCTGACTATCCAGGGCAGCTGTATTGTATGAATCTTACCCTCTTTATAACAATGTTGTCATAATCCCAGACTGCTACTAATGCTGGATTATCTTGAACTAGCAGAAATATCTGCATGGAGGTTCTCCCACTCTCTTGGGTTAGGGTTAAGTGTGCACAGTCTGAGATTTAATTGTTTCAGCTAAATTTGAATAAAGACCCAAGTTAGAAAGATGCAATGTTCTCATGTGTCACATGTAATGATGGGAGCCTTATCGTAGGTTCTGCATCATCTAAATCTAGCTTTAAGACGTCCATTCAAAATCATTTATTGTATTAAATGTTGAGGGAAAACGACAATATAAAATAAAGAAGAGAACATTAATTGTAAAGAAGAACATGTAAGGAAAAAGTGCTGTTTTTATTTTTATTTTGTTTATTTTGCCTGGTGGTATCTTCTTCTCAGATTGTGTAAACCACAACATCCTCCAAACCCGAAGGTGTGGCAACTTCTACGCAGTGGCACTATTTTTGTTTAGTGCTTGTATGTTGCATAATCCATGAATGTGGGAGGAATGGGGGCCCCAGCAGTTTGTTTTTGCCTCTGGGCCCCTCCGCAGGATAATCCAGTCACACTCTCAGTAAAGATCCTGTGAAGATCTATAACCGAAGGGAAAGGTGGCTATGATTTCACAAAATTTGGCACCAGTTATAATAAATCTATATTATTCCTTAAATTAATCAGATCCCTGAGTTTGAGCCAAGCAGCCTCGCATCTATTTCCTTGGGCTGAAAAACCTGAAAACGACAGTAATGAGTTCGAAAATAAAGGTAGCTTAAGATAAACAGCACTCTAAACAATTGAGCCTGCAGAGTTCCTGTTAGATCACATTTAACATCAACAGTGTGACTATGATGGCTGTTTTGGAAAAAAAAGGGGATGTGTCCGTGTACTTTTCCAGTACAACATGGAACAATACAAGCATTTCACATGTTCTCACAATAAAACATGTTTGCACAATTTTAACTGCAAGATGTAGTCAAAACATTTTTGATTTTGAATTTTCATCAGAATCCATGCCCTGTGTAAATATGACTAAACGTCCACCTCTTAAAAAGCAATTTTCACCATTTTTATTTCAGCAGCTTTGCCCTCTCATTGCACCTTTATATGTATTTACATTTACAGGCCTGTACACAGCATGCGCTTGTGTTACTTTGGTTTATTCTAAAGTGTGTGCATTACACGAGTAAAATGCCACTATAAGCAAACTTGGCCAATAAAGCTCATTCCCATTCTCATTTGATTTGATATAATTCATGTGTCATGTATCAATAACATGCCCAGCTGAAAACAGGCTTACAAGAAGCCACGAGAGACCAAAAACCAAAGTGGACACATAGCAAAAATACAGAAATAATAATAAAGATAAGCCTGTTCTTTCCAAGCTCACAAAGCAAAAGCCAACGTTTAAGAGTTATAAGTAAACTGTTGTATTCTGATGTCCCCAGTACATCAAAACATATGAGGATTTTAAATACATTTGATTCATGAAAGGTCGTCTTTCCTAGTCATAATTCACACAACCTGTTGCCCTCCTCGAGGTTTTTTAAATCTTCCAACTTTAAGAGCCAGAGGAAGGACTCCTGATCCCAACTAAGCAACCAAACATCTCTGGGTGCTTCTTCATTTGGCAATAACAAAAGGTTGCGTGCCATGATAACGTTCATTCAGCCTCTTCAAAAACATTTTTAAACTACTTATTTTGACACAGTAACACTATACACTTCATACTCTTAAATGTTTTATCTATGTCTATTTTTCTATCTCAAAGCGCACTGCATTTTCACGTCTGGAGTAATGCTTGTCTGTTTTATTTATGATCCTTAGAACAGTCATTGGATTCACTGTCCATCTGTATGAGCATGTGAATAACAAAAATCTTGAAACAGACTCAAATGAAGACCTTATCATAAAGCCTGTTTTCTGACATAACATGTTGATGTTCTCCTCTTTGATTAAGGACTCTACATAGCGTGGCCCTGAGCAGCCAAGGCAGGAGAATTTTAATAAACGCTTAATTAACAGCTAATATTTCTAAAGGCAAGAGGTCAATCCCAGCTTCATAAATCATAAACCCACCCAGATGAAATCCTAAATATTCCCATTTTTAAACAATTATTCTAGTAAATTCCTTTCTATCCCCATGTTTGCCTTTTCTCTACGCACACAGAGTCTAAGTAAGAAGTTTGTGTCTCCCCGGGGAGGATAGTGTGTTTTGGTTGACAGGAGGCACGTCCCCCTCTTCCTCCTCCTCCTCCTCCTCCTCCTCCTCTCTCTATAACCACAACAGGACTCTCCTTCAGACATAATGGGATTATGTGCAGGATTGATATCCAGCTTTATGGCTCACGTGTGGGCCCTGCACCTCTGCTCAACATGCTGCTATGACAGGCCTGTCAGAGTCCGCTGTGGAGAACTGACTGGACACAAATCTACGCCGACCTCCAGAACTGAAGCTCCATTGTCAGGCTTCTCTGTGCGCAAGAGGCTTTACAAACACCATTATACTGAAGAACTCACTGGAGGACTTGTACGTCGTGCGTTATCACGCTGATGTCATGTCAAAGCCTGCTGTGTTCAATGACCTTTACCAACATGGAAGTAATCAGCTTTTCACATCAAATATGTTTAAAAAGGCTTGAAACTCACAATTATTCTTATTAACACAAAACTAATCACCGTTGTTACTCATGTGATCTATGAATGAAAGGTGAAAACGTTTCTCTGAAAAGGTCTCAGAGCAAAAGCTGAAGACTTCAACATTCATATGTTGTCCAATCAACAAGGTGCAGAAGTATTACTAGCCAAATAAAGGGATAGTTCAGGAATGTTTAAGTGGTGTTGTATGAGGATCTTGTCGCTATATATATTTTTTTTTTCAAAAGAACCTTATTGCTGCCCTCTGCCTTGTCCACATACCTATTTTTAACTGATCGGACACCAAACATTTTTCAAACATCAGAGTATTTGGAGGACAATTAAATAATACAAATCTTGAGCTGTCTGCATCTTGATTTTGTCCATGAAATGTCCCAGCAGTCTGGTTTAAGTTAGACGAACTAAATCAGCTTCGAAGATTGTCATATCTGAACTACCAACTGACAATCTCGAAACAAAACATGGATAATGCTCCTGCATGACATTATCCGCAGCCTATCAATGCCTCTGCAGCTTTTAAGTTCTGGTGAGTACAACAGAAAAAGGATCATGAACTTAACTCTCTCTCTTTCAGTCGCTGTAAAGTCCTTAGATTTGCATTTGATTTGTATGAAAGGTGTTTTATGAATGAATCTTGGAAGCTTATTGATCCAAACTCTTTACAGAGCCGAGCCTTTTTGCTCTCAACGCAGAATTTCAGAACTACAAACATGATGGATGTAGAACTTATATATGATTGCTCTCCGTTATGGCAACTTCCCCATTGTTGGTGAATTATGCAAAACACTGGAAAAGTGTTGCCTGATGTCTTTCTCTGATAAAAGCACCCAGACTTTTCTGTCTTGGCTCTACATCAGCATTTGCATGAAAGGAGTCTATATTCATGTGGAATGTCTCATGACACATTTATAGTTCTTTACATACTACTGTTGTACTATAACTGTTGAAACGTTCAAATATTAAGCATTTAATGATACAACTAGTTGACGAAGAGCTAATTGAACTAAATACTCCTGGATAGTTGAATACTGTTTCAAATGTCGTTTTATTAATGTGGAAATTCCCTGAAGCTTTCAAATGAATACTGGACCAGAAGTTGTGGAGGAGAGTAAAGTAGCATAACTGAAACAATAAAGTGAAAGTACGTCAAAAGTGAAGTTTAGTCTCAGTTTTTTTTTTTGCTCAATAATGGCATGGACGAATAATTGGTGATCAAAACTTGTTGTAGGCTATATCCTAGTAAACTTCTGCATGAATCAGCCTGAGATCAAAGAAACAATCCTAAATATCGACATGATCTACATTTCATATCTACATCCACATTTACATCCTGGCCAAAGATTACTGTGCTTATTTTGTACAACACATCTTTCATGCCCTTCACTGTAAATCCACAAACTCAAACTCGCCTCAAACTTGACTCCCTCTGAAGCTCGTGGGACTTTTCCCCGCGAGCACGCGCTGGAGTCCAAACCGAGGGCTTCTGCTCAATTTAAATGTTTACACGACGAGATTGGGATCGGGCCACATTGCACGGCAGAAACCAGCGATGTCCTAAAAGTTTCAGCTCAAAACTGAAGGATCTGTAGCTGACACGCTGTGTCATCGCTCGGTCCTGTCCCGCCTGCTTTGACACTTTCAGTTTAGCACGAGAGGCGATGCGAGTTGTTGTCACTTACCGCTTTGTTAGACTGTCATATAACTCCGCTTGGACCTTTTTTCGGAGGGCGATCACTTCCACAGGGCGAGATAATGATGCGTCAGGTGTAAGCTTCCCGCAAGTGAAGGAGGAAAACGGAGCGGAGGACGATTCATTATTGAAGCCTTATTTTTAAACTCCAAACTGCGCTGCTCCACGCGTAAAAAAAAAAAAAAAAAAACACACGCACACACACACACAATCCAAAAAAGACTGTAAACTCCAATCCTGCTTCAAAGAGACGAAGTGGGCCGTGCAAAGCAATCAGCGAGCTCCTGCAAACTACAGCTCCACTCCAGCGTGTTTTTACATAACAGCATCATCCGCTTTTTTATGTTGACGCATCATGTAGCGAAAACATGGAGTTTCTTAAAGGGCCACGGACGCGCCGTCCACATGTCACCGTCCCCCAGCAGCCCCCGCTGCGGCGGACAGATGGCTTTCACCTAGTTAATGTCTGTAAGCCCTGCTCCTTTTGACACTTGCGTTAACCCTGGCAGGCAGCGAGGAGTGAGTGAATAAATGAAGGATCTGTGGCCTGTCAGCTCTGGCTCGTGTCCAAAACCTGCTCCGACATGTGACTGCACGGTGCCTCCTGCAGCTCTGATGTGGAGGATTGTGTTCTTAAGTGACTTTGTGTTTTTTTGTTTTCCTAAAGTCGCACGTTATAAAGTTGAGCATGGTCATTTGAAATATTCAACATCTGTTATGTAACCTTTAATGCAGTCTTATGGAGCGATTGGTCCATATATTGGGTTACTGTCTAACTTGCTTAATGTAGCTTCCTTTTGCTCCAAACTATTAAAAACATGGAAATAAAAGGCAAAGTCCTTTTTCATCTGACAGATGTATTACATTTTTAAACCACCTCTAATCTCAGATGGACGATGACATAACAAGTGTTTGCATAAATTAACATTTACTCTGCAGGCAGAGAAATCACTTCTTCTGTTTACCTCAACCATACATTTAGGATATTAACCACATGGTGATACTTTCTCATAATGTCTTATTTTTAACTAGTTAAAGCTCCTGTGAGGAAGTTTTATGTGGTTATGAAACAGACTGAAATGAATGTTGATGACCTACATCAGCAAACGAAACCATCAGGATAAAAGACTGTTTTGCCAGATAAGAAGTAGCCTACCACTTTGTCCACACGGGGCGCCAAAATCCACATTATAGTTGTTGAATGGTAATAAATCCTTCAATATGTTTGCAGAGAAGCTCTATAGAAACAACTTTTGGGTTTCCAGGTTGTGGAAAATCCAGCTGTCTTGGGTGTACCCGTTCTGTTAGGGAATAAATCAGCAATAAATGTTGGCAATCAAGCAATAAACGCAGACATATATAACTCTTTATAACAAGCTATCAGGCCTGCATTTATGAGTTGTTAAATTATAGTTAAGCAGTTCATGACATTTGCTGAAAGAGGCGGTCATTTTTACAACAGAGAAACCTAAAAGTTATTCTGACGTTTTTACGGCTTGAAACTAATCCATGACACCTAATTAAGCGACAAATCATTTACAGCATTCATTGTTCATAAACCAAAAGAAAAACAATCACGCATTATTTTTTTTATTGTCAATATTTTCGACAAGCCATCTTTATGCTGAAGTAATTACGACTTCTGAGTTATGAAGGCACATTTCCATGATGAATATCATCCTTTCATATCCACCCTTCTATGTTTTCCTCTTCTTCATTAATCTCTACCATGCAATCTTTTACTCCATGCCATGGTGAAAGAGTTTGTGCAACATCTATTATTAACCCCTGTAAGCTTCAGAGTTTATGCTTATTATAGAGGAAAGCCTTCACTTGACAATGAGGCATTCTGTTTGTACGTTTCTCTGAAGGGAGGAGTCCTTCCTGCTTCACAAAGAGGCACACACAGCTGAACGGACAAAACTCACAACTCTGACTACACAACAGTGAGATGAGTGGTCACAAACTAGAAGCAGAGAAGTTGCAAAGAAGTTGTATCAGGTTTATTGTTTGTTGTTCTGTAAGGAATTTGACACGTTACCTCTGGAAAGAAGCCAGGATTTGTGATCCATTTATTAACAGGCTTACATCAGACCGAAAGACGGATAATAATCTTTGGTATATTAAAAAAAAACTAACAATAATATGAAATATTAACTGTGATGCTATAAAAAGCATTTTGACCTTTGTATTAAGAACTTTGTATTATAAATGTTTCAGTTAAAACATTCACATTGGGGCTTTGATGCCTTTATTGTAGAGACAGGACAGTGGATAGAGTTTAGGGACAGAGAGAGAATGCAGAATGACAAGGAGCCTCAGATTGGATTCAAACCTGAGTCGCCTGCAGCCTCTGGGGCATGCAAAAACCACTAAGGGGCTCTAAAAATGTATCTCTGTATGTATCTTTTTTCTTTGATGTATTGCTGATGTTCTGGGTTATATTAAGGATCGTATAGGATAGGCAGAAATAAGCCTTAGTCTTCAGCCTATTCCTTTATTGGTCATTGATTGTTTGAATTTCATCGTTGGAAATGGACCCGTGTAAACATGAGTGTTTGGAATAGTGTGGAATATTTACACAAATGTTTTTGCCCAAAAAGTATTTTAAAATAAGTCAAAATATTATTTAATTTAATTTAAAGAAGTACAAGTTTAAAGCATTAGTATCTCTTTATAGATATATTTCTGCACAATGCTATTTTATATTCGTCCATAATTCATTTAACAGGCAAATATCTGGATTTCATTTAACCTACATGTTTACAGCTGACATTATAGTTATTGTAAAAAAGAATGAATTATAATCCAGTTATATAGTCTTATACCACTACAGAATTACTTCCATTAGATTTTGAATGCAGGTCTCCTGCTCAAAAAGATTTTTATATTAAAGTAAACGTTCACTGAAGCAAACACTGTGCTTCATTCCTTTTCCACCTCTAAACTTCTGCTGACCAAAATGATCAAAATATGAGTCTTTCTGAAAATCTGTCCAAATAAAAGGCTGCATCATCTTTCTAGAAAAATGAAATATAATCTATTCTAACGAACAACACCAGATACCTCAGTGTGTGGGAGGCCTAATGGTTAAAATGATGTGTTTCTTGTGAAGAGGAAATCCACTTTCAAACAGAATACCCATGTATTATTCAAATGTCCTGGGAGAGCTCAATAACCATCCATCTCTCCTCTGGCTTCACCAGGAACCAGCAGCTCAACATGTTCAGACTGCAGCATTAGCACTATAGCTAGTCTTTTCTTAGATACATGTGGGGGGGGACCTGCTGTCAAAAGGAGCAGGAATCAATGTATAAGTCTGTTAAAATACATTTGAACCATTAATTCAGCCGAGACAATCACTGTCACATCTGATTACAGGCAGTGACCAAAGAAACATCTTTAAATCCGAAATGTCAATCTCAATTTAAACGTGAAAATAAAATAAAACAGCTGTGTACATCCTTCAGCTCAGAACTGAAGTGTTTGATCACAGAATGACACACAGCTGAGCGGTATCAACGTCCAACCAAACAATCTTCTTCCCATCCGTCAGCCTGAGTCACGGCGGCTGACAGAGATGAAATAACTGAGGGAGGATGAGAGGCGATAAACTGATGATCTGTCATCTGAGCAGCTGATGGACAGAAGCTTCAGCAGCAGGTAACTGACAGAGAGAAAGATTCAAGTTTGGAAAAGAAAATGGAGTACTCAGAGGCAAATATTGTACTTTTCCACTCCTTTGTTTATGGGGTCTTGGCTTGCTCTTTTCCACAGGTCCACATTGTTGACTTTGTCTTTCCACCAGATGTTTAATATCCTTCTGAGGCAGGTGTTGATGAATGTTTGCAGCCTGTGTGTTGTGTGTTTTGCTGTTCTCCATGTTTCGGATCCATACAGCATCACTTGTTTAACGTTGGAGTTGAAGATCTTAGTGTTTGTGGAGATGTTTTTTGAGCTCCAGATCTTTCTGAGCGATGTGAAACACCACTCTAGCCTTGTTATTTTCTGCTTGTAATGTCGGCCTCTGTCCCTCCAGTGGTGTCCACAACACTGCCTAGGTAGGTGAAAGCTTCTACCTCCTCTAGGGCAGTGCTGTTCAAGGTTTTGGAGTGGATCTTCATCACTTGAGTTTTTGTTATATTGGGAGTGAGACCAAGTTTTTATTGCAGTTTCTGAAAGTCTGTCTGTGTTCTCTTGCATTTGTGTCTGTGTATGGGAAAAGAGAACTATATCATCCGCAAATTCAAGATCATCCAGCTGCTCCCACATTGTCCACTGAATTCCATTCCTCATGACCCAGTCAATAGCAAGAAGGAAGAGGAATGGTGACAGAAGACATCCCTGTTTAACGCCTGTCTTGACTTCAAAGCTCCGGGAAAGTTGGCCTGCATGCATGACTTTACCCAAGGTGACCTCATAAAATTTCTTGATAAGGTTTATGATCTTTGTGGGAATTCCATAGTGCTCCATTAATTGCCACAGTGTTGTCCGGTCTAAGCTGTCAAAAGCTTTTTCAAAATCAATGAAGCTCATGTGCAGGGATGTGTTCCATTCAATAGCCTGTTCAATGATGATGCGTAGTGTTGCTATGTGGTCTGTGCATGAACGATCTTTCCTGAATCCTGCTTGCTGGTCCCGGAGCCTCTTGTCCACAGCTTCCTGGAGACGGTTGAGAATGACCCGATTAAAGACCTTACTGGGCACTGAAAGTAAGGTCATCCCTCGGTAGTTGTTACACTTCCTTAAGTCACCCTTCTTTGGTAGTTTCACTATGTGACCCTCTGCCCATTCTGTGGGTGTCTCTTCGTCCTCCCAAATTCTCCCAAAGAAGCTGTAGAGCATGTCTGTAGATGTGTTTATATCAGGTTTAAGGGCTTCAGGTGGAATATTGTCAGGGCCAGCAGCCTTGCCGGTTTTCAGATGTTTGATTGCAGCTTTTATTTCAGTCTTTGTTGGTCTGTCACACTTGATGTTCAGCAGTGTCCTGGTCTGAGGAATGTGTGGCCTCTCTGTTGGTGGTGGTCTGTTCAGGACCTCTTGGAAGTGCTCTACCCATCTCTCGAGCTGCTCTTCCGGGGTTGAGAGCGGTTGGCCATCCTTGTCCATGATCGGTTTGTTACTTGTCGATGTATCCCAGACGATTTCCTTATGGTGTTGTACAGTTCTTTCATGTTTCTTTGAGATGCTGCAAGTTCTGCCTCCTTAGCTAGCCTCTCTACCTGTGATCGCTTGTCCCTCCTGATGTTCTGCCGCACTTTTTGGTGGAAAAGGTTGTATTCCTTTTGAGCCTCTGCTTTTTTCTGAAGCATAGACTTACAAATCCGAAAGAGAAAGTGGAGTTGGATTGGCCACACCCTCAGAAAACCTGCCACAA